AGCACATCTAGGATTCAGTTCAGCCTCTGTGATAGGAAGATTCAATGGAGCACACTGTACCATGAGGTGCATAGAGGTTCATTCAGGACCATCTCAACAGAAATTCCCTGTGTGTTATATCATTTCTATCCCTAAAGTTCAGTTTCTACTATGTCAAGTACTTACAATTCCTAGTTCCTTTATGACACTCATATATTGTTTATTCATTTTTTGGTTACTCATACGTTAGCTTATTTGTTTAGCCAACAGTACTATCAACCAGATTTCAGGCACTTTTAGAGGTCCCCCTGGAACTTTGGCCAATAAGTAAAGTATAAATCTTACCCTTCAAGGACTGAAGTACTGCTTGGTTTTATACTGCAAGGAAATCAGTACCATGATTATGATATGGAAGAAAAGGAAGCACATCTTATTGCTGTACAGAACTGAAGTACAATTTCATGACAGACTTGGCTGCCTCTTTATGGATAGCTAGGTGTTGAGCAGCATATGGTCTATGCTGAATTGTTCTCTGCTTCAAGGACAGAGAATTAAATACATCTTCACATTTTAGGTTCCTGAGAATAAAGTCCCTTGTGCTTTTCCTCTAAGGATCACAAAGGCATGCCTTGTTTCTTCTATAACTAGTATTTAACATGCAGCTCTAGGTTTTTACTCTAAAACTCATAAGCCACAAACACTTAGAAACAAGTGAGTCTGTTTTTCTTCTTCACTTAAGGTTGTTTGACTTCAACCCAAGAGCTCCACTGATGCTGCTCCTTGTAAAGCCATGGGCACCTTCCATAAATGCATAGCTGCCCTCTGACTTCAGCCCAGGAAATGGGCTGAATCTTGTAGCAGCTAATTAAGGAAGATCAGTTTTCTCACGATGTAGAAAGTTGAACACTTAAAGTTGATTTTTGTTGTTGTTTTAATTGTTGTTGTTGTTAAGATTATAAAGTCTCCTGGAACTCTCAGTAGAAATATCAATGGTATTTTAAATTAACTCTAGGGGAAAAGAAACAAAGGCTGGAAGATATATGCCCACCAGTCATTTCAGATTTGATAGTTGTGATATTCAGAGTTTTTGGACAATAGTATAATCATTGTTGATTGTGTAAAAGGACATTGAGTGATCTATATGCAAGTCATCCACAAGAACTGAGTAAATTTTGACCACCTTTGTACAAGTACATCCTCTAGTACAGAACAATGCTACTTCTGAACACTTCTGTCTTTAAAGACAAGCACACATGCCTGGGCTCATACCTGAACTCCTAGCTACTCAGGAGACTGAGGTTTGAAGCCAACCTGGGCAGAAAAGTCCCTGTAAGACTTTAATCTCCAATAAACTACTCAAAAAAGCTGGAAGTGGCACTGTGGCTCAAGAGGTAGAGTACTAGCCTTGAGCTCAAAGAGGCCCAGGGACAGTGCCCATGCCCTGAGTTCAAGCCCCAGGACTAGAAAAAAAAAAGACAAACACACAGGCACAAATATATCCAGTATCTAATTTTTTGTTTTAATGTTCAAGGGATGAATTACATGGGTAAGGTTAAATGAAGCACCTATGTGTTCGTACTTGGGGGATGTTAACAGAGTGATGTCAGGTACTGAGTTATCATAATTTTTTAAATTAAGTTTTTTATTGTGAGGGGTTACAGTTACATGATCAAGGTAATGAGTACATTTCTCATCCAGTATTGTTGCCTCCTGCTTTGTTTTCCCCTACCACCCCTTCCCTCCCACCTCCTCAGCATAAATTGCAAAGTTTGTCTTTCAACATAGTGTGTTGTATTTCTCGTTGTTGCAATGGGTCAATGTATCCCTACATAATATTATATGAGTCAGATATATCAAAAAGTAGAAACACAGGACAGTCACAGAGGTTAAAGAAACATATGTATTATCTCTTATTTAGTTATCTTCTATTAATGTTAATAGTAAAGGTAAGCATAATTTAGAGGATAACCTATAAATACAGATTTGCATACATAATTACCATTTATAACATGATTGATATTATTGCTTGGCTTGCTTTTCTACTTGAGCCAGATCTCCTGTCCATCTTTTTAGCTGGTTATTTTTGGAATTTGAATCTCATGGACTTTTCTGATTGGGCTGGCTTTGACTCTTTGAATCTCAGCCTACTGAGTAGCTAGGATTATAGGTATGAGCCACCAGTGCCCAGCAGATACAACTTATTCCATTATTATAGGGAAAGATCAGGCTTAAAGAGTATAAGTAGCCTGCTAAAATTTTCTTCCTAGAACAGGAAATGGATAGAATTTAAGCCCGTCTACTTCCAAAACTCTCTTTATAATATCTCATATATATTGTGAAAAGTATACCATGCTAACTTTTCATAATCAACTTTAATGAGATATGCTCTTATCTCTTGAATCAAAGCATTAAGACACTGAAAAGCTAGAGTAGTAGAAATTCAAAAGTTAAGGATCATCATAAAATAGAATTCTCAGCATAATTAGTGTTAAAACGGAAGAAGAAATTTAGAGTGGACTCCAAAATTTGATGAATGAGAGGGATCAATTTACACAAAAGAGGAAGAAAAGGAACACATAGTTGTTTGTAAAACAGGATACTTTAGTCATGTCGTTCTGAGGAGTTTGCAATGGTAAAACAAAACATATATGTGGAAATATTTTAGTCTTGAGATGAAAGAAACACACAAAGATAGTCTTTGAAAACCCCATGCTAAAAGTATGATTTTTCTTCTATGCATTGAAAATTTATGGAAGGATTGTAAAATGATGGAGACAAAAGGACATTTGTGTGTTAGGAGGAACCTGTGATCTGAAGGTGGATTTGGAAGGGGCTTCCAGCATAGGCAAAGAGACATAAGGAAGTAGTCCAAGTAAGAGCAACTGGAGTATGCTCTAAGCTTGTGAATCTGGGGGGTGGGGAGGGTTGAGAGAATGAAGCGGCTATGTGAGAAATTTTAAAAGGTCAACAGGAACTGATGAAGGATAGAATAAAGAATAAGTAATGACAGTTACTAAGTTCCTAGTTCAAGCTGGGAGGGTAGCTCACAGAAATACTGACAAAAAGTAGATAAGAAGATTTGAAAGGGTATGTCAGGTTTTCCAGCCTTGAATATACTGAGTGTGTGGTATGTGTTAAAGAAACAAATAGGAAAATTGACTTTTTTTCAGAGAGATACTTGGCACCAAAGATAAGTTCAGAATCAATGAAAGAGTGCAAATTGTTGAAACCATGGGATTGGACCAAATCAATTCAGAGATAATGGATAGAATAAGAAGAGAAGAGAATATGAGTACCTGGAATTAACTTATAATGAGATGGCAAAGATGGCAGGTAGTACTACAGGATGAACAGCTATGTCTTGGAAACTAAGAGAGGCTAGGTTCAAAAGTAACTAAGGGAGGCTAGTTTCAAAAGTAACAGTACTTGCAATGTTTATTGACATCCGAGTATCAATAAAGAGAATTCTTTTAAATCGACAGTTCTAAAATATTGACAGTTCTAAAGTGGCACTATTTAATCATCTCTCCTAAGACAAGCATGCATTTACTCTTCTCTCTAAGATAAAATCGACTTAGCTGACTCAGATATGTGAAAGACCTTCTGCATGGTAATGATATTATATAAAAATGTAGGGCTATCATGAAGACTAAATGACATAATTCATTTAATGGAAGCAAAGGAAAGCCTGAATATAATAAATAATTGATAGACTTAGCTATTACTTTTTCTGATGAGTACCCTAACCTTTACTCTCTAATATGAAAGTTAGATCGATTGGTGAGATATTACCATAGGGCCCTTGGGCAGTCCAACAGTCTTCCCCAAATAGTAGGTTTTTTAAAAGAAAGATAAAAGAAAACCAGAAATTAGCCTCTTACAATCTGTTCTTAACACACTTTTTCTTCAGTCATTATTGATTAAATCCCAGGCACGTGGGGAAAAATATTGCTTCAGAAAAGTGGGCAAGTAAAAGGCCAGCTTCAAAGTAGGCCCTATTTATTGTGCTTACAGTCAGAAATGTCAAAAACAAAAATAAAACCTGATGTTTTCTGTCTAAAAACACTTAATAGGTTACAACTGCCAAACATTTTAATACGTCAGACTTTGTCTAAATATTTTTGACCATCAGATTAATAAAACACCCATGTGAGAAGTGAATCCATTACTGAAATGATCACAGCATTAAGGTAATGTGACAACAAATACCTTTGTGTTCCTTTTGATACTAAAACCTAGATCTGATGACCCTGCTTATTATGAATCTGTAAATGCACACACTGTATTTCTGATGCCATGCTGTCCTGAGCACTATTTGATGAGTTAATTCTTATTGCTTTGAAACATGTGCTTTGGACTTCACAAACACAAGCACCATTGCTTGGTTCCTCAGATTGAAATCTTACTGTTATTAAGAAAAATTTTTACCCAAGATAAGGACACAAGAGGCTTTATCTTTGTTGCTGTTGTTTTTAATGTACTTATAATGTACTATATGATTTTTTTGTTTCTCTTGTATGTTATTCCCCATGGTATAACCCCTGTTTTCACTGTATTTGGTTCTGGTACCCTGAGTCTTGTATATACATTTTTCTAATTTGGGGAGGGGAAAGGAAATAGCAAAAGGCTGAAATAAGGATAAAGGATTACCCATTGTAACAATGAGATGTACAAGACACTTTAAAAAAGGAACTTTACAACTTTTGGGGGTAGGGATGAGTTGGGGCGGTTGGGAGGGAAGGGATGGTAGGGGAAAAACAAAGGAGGGGGTAACAATGCTTGTTAGGAAATGTTCTCATTCCCTTACTCATGTAACTGTAGCCCCTCTGTACAGTATCTTTACAATAAAAATATATATTAAAAAGAAAGACCTTCTGCATAAATATCTCCAAAGAGGAGATTTTTGTCTTCTTTATATCTGACTTTATTCTTCTGTGTTGCAGTTTAAGTCACTTGTTTCTTCTGATGAAGATGGTAGCCCTATTTGGACAACATGAGAATGTACCAAGAATGGACAGATCATGCAGCTGATTTCTTTTCCCTCTTTCCTGTCTAAGCTGTTGCTCATGGCCCTCAGCAATTCTAGCTGGAGGCTACCCCAGCCTTGTTTTTTCTTAGTAGGTATTCCAGGTTTAGAGGAAAGTCAGCACTGGATAGCATTGCCCTTGGGTGTCCTTTACTTCCTTGCTCTAGTGGGCAATGCTAGTATTATCTTCATTATCTGGAATGACTCATCCTTGCATCAACCCATGTACATCTTTTTGACCATGCTGGCTGCCATTGACCTGGTTCTGGCCTCCTCCACAGCACCCAAAGCCCTTGCGGTGCTTCTGGCGCATGCTCACGAGATTGGGTACATTGTCTGCTTGATTCAGATGTTCTTCATTCATGCATTCTCCTCCATGGAATCCGGTGTCCTGGTGGCCATGGCTCTGGATCGCTATGTAGCCATTTGCCACCCTCTGCACCACTCCACCATCCTCCATGCAGGGATCATAGGGCGCATCGGAATGGCGGTCCTAGTGCGGGGTGTGCTCCTCCTCATCCCTTTCCCCATCCTGTTGCAGAGCCTTGTTTTCTGCCAGACCACTGTCATTGGCCATGCCTACTGTGAACACATGGCTGTGGTCAAACTTGCCTGTTCAGAGACCACGGTGAACCGAGCTTATGGGCTTTCAGTGGCCTTGTTTGTGGTTGGTCTCGACGTGCTAGCCATTGGAATTTCCTATGCCCTCATCCTGCAGGCAGTGCTGAAGGTTCCAGGGGCTGAGGCCCGAGTGAAGGCCTTTAGCACATGTGGCTCTCATGTGTGTGTTATCCTGATCTTCTATGTCCCCGGAATGTTCTCCTTCCTCACTCACCGCTTTGGCCATCACGTCCCCCACCATGTCCATGTTCTCCTGGCAACACTGTATCTCCTGGTGCCACCTGCCCTCAATCCTCTTGTCTACGGGGTCAAGACTCGGCAGATCCGCCAGCGAGTGCTCAGGGTGTTCTATATCAAAGGACTGAGCTGAGCAGATCCTAATTGCTTTCTCCAGAAACTCCTTTCATGGACACAGACAGGAGTCCAGGGCTCTCTGGATTATATTCAGAGTATCCATTCCATGATAAGAAGGCCTTCTAGTTGACTAGAATACTCCCAGGCATTGGTGTCTGTAATCTCCTAGGATGCGTCTGGATAGTTGGATTTATGTAAGTTGTCTTTCTCATCTTTTTTCCCCTTCTAGTCCAAACAAATATCCAATCTTTGGGTTTGGGGGGATAAGAGACATAGATAATATTATGGATATGTTATCACTAGAACTGATAATGTAATGATGTCTGGAATGGGAAATGGCAGAGCCATCCTTTGTTTGGTTTTGTGTGTAGAGTGTCTTCAAAACTTCTAGGTTATTAGAATGGATCTATAGACTACTGTACTTCTGTGTAGCAATGGAATCTTCAAACCACCTGAGTAGTCAACAATATGAAAAAAATCTTGCAGTCATTGTAATATCTAGAAAGTTCATTTATTTAAAACTAACATAAGGAGATAGGTACTTTATATAGGAGTCATAGGAATAATAATATAGGATCATATTTACAAGACAGAATTATATATATGTACACACATAAACATATATACATGTGTTTATGTATGTGTCTATGTGTATGTGTGTGTACATTTCCTGGATTCTCTTAAAAAGCTTGATTTTACTTTTAAATTTATTTGTTTTTTTTTTGTTTAGGGTTAAAGAAGGAATAAGACCACGTATTATATATGTGTGTGGTATGTTTTATAAGTATTAGCAAAACAAAAGAAGCCAGTTATTATTATTAGCATGTAACAAAATCAGCAAAATGTGCTAAGTTTGGGTGTCAGTAGCATAGCTTTAATAAAGCAAGTAGTAAATGTAGAAATAATTATGTCTTCTGAAAATAGTGCCATCAATCAAATCTATTCCTTTTCATAGCAATTGGGTAAAAGCTTGTAAGAGGAGTGTCACAACCTGTTAGCTGGATATTGTTGTAAGATCTGGTTTAACTCTTTTATTTTTTTTATTGTAAAAATACCGTAAAGAGGGGTTACAATTACATGAGCAAGATAATGAGTACATTTCTTATGAAGCATTGTTGCCTCCTCCTTTGTTTCTCCTTACCATCTCTTCCCATCTTCCCTCTCCCCCCTCCCAGCCACCTCCCCTCCTGCGCCAAAGTTGTAAAGTTTGTTTTTTGACATAACGTCTTGTACATCTCATTGTTGCAATGGGTCCACCTGTATCCCTATTTAAACAATTTGTTTTTTTCCCTTCCCCTCCACAAATTATACCAACATCAAATACAGTGAAAGCAGGGGCTATACCGTGGGGGAGGGACATACAAAGCAACACAGAAATCATCTTATAAATATCTTAGAAACAATAGCAAGAAAGAAAAAACATTTGAGTCCTTATCTTGGGGTTCATTTCGCCTAACATCAACTTATCTGACCATTTCTGCTTGTCTCAGACATATGCTAGTTATTGCAAATAAGGGAAATCATGGGACCTATGTTTCTTTGGGCCTGGCTAACTTCACTTAATATAATTTTTTCCAAGTTTTTCCATTTCCTAACAAATGGGGCAATGTCATTCTTTCTGATGGAGGCATAGTATTCCATTGTGTATATATACCACATTTTCTTGATCCATTCATCTACTGAGGGGCATCTGGGTTGGTTCCATATCTTAGCTATGGTAAATAATGCTGCAATAAACATAGTTGTGCTGGTTTAACTCTTTTGTATTCTTAGAAAGTAGCATATTTAGTTAAGTCCTTGAAGAATGTAAGCCATGGCTATACTGAAGTATGATGCCCAAGTGGTGAAAATATCATATTCTGGAAATTTGTACAGTAGAAATGAGAGGGACATTGAAGTTTCTATTCTCTCCATTCTTTGTAAACTCTACTCCTGGGCTTGGGGCTTGGCTTAAGCGATGGAGAGCTTGCCTCACAAGAACAAGGCTCTCAGCCAAAACACAAGTTCTGCTACCCTGTTTTCTTTACTTCCACTAAACTGTTTTTTCCCCCTTAGAGATATTAAGTATTCCTTCTTGATTTTTTTGTGTGTGTATCAGTCCTGGGGTTTGAACTCAGGGCCTGGGCACTGTCCTTTGACTTTTGTACTCAAGGCTAGTGCTCTACCACTTGAGCCATAGTTCCAGATCTGGCTTTTTGGTCATTAACTGGAGATCAGTCTCACAGATTTTCTTACCTGGTCTGGCTTCAAACTATGATCTTTAGATCTTAGCCTCCTGAAGTGTAATCTTAACTAAGATTACCAGCTTCCAGTTTTTCATCTTTAGTTTGGCTGCCATAGGTGGATGATATAGGAAGGATGGCCAGAGTTACTCTTATTGTAGGATTTTGATTGTTCATGTACCCTGTAGTAAGCCTGTGGTATATTACATTCATTGGAAACTCTCTTTCTTGACCCCAGAGGTATTTTGCTTGGATAGGCTATTAAAAGAAGTATTTCTCATCATTTATATTACTTGATGCTGAGATCTGCAGCAGCAACCATGAGATGGAAATGTGAGCTGAAGGTGGCAGAGGAACAATATAGAAGGGCCCGTGTGTCTGATCCTGCTTAGGCCATCACCTGATTTAAACCTGAACCGGAAGTAAACTCGTGTCTGGATTAAGCCATTGCATTTTTGGGAGTCTATAGTTTCACAATGGGATATGTATTAGTGGGATATGTATTAACCAATAACCCATACACAGAGTTCTCTGGAAAATAATGATTGGGAAATATAGACAGGGCTAGAGGAAAAGGGAGGGTCAAGACCTATAAAGAACATTGTCATTTTTCATTGGCTTGACTGAAGCATCCATTTTGAAAGTTAAGTTTTTGGCTGTCCTTGTGCTCCTGAGGTATCTCTGCCCAGAGTGTCCTGGACACTCCCCTCCCAGAAAGAAATGAATAGGTCTGTGTTCCTACGTCTCATGTCCTGCTCATGTCCTGCTTTCCCACGGAGCTCTTATCTATTTGTTCTTCTCACTGTATCTACTGTGGTTGTACCCGGTCCTCCTGTGCAATAGAAAGAGATAGAGTTACTACTAACAGCAGGATGCTACAATGACACAAATCCCAAACACATTTACCCAGGACACCAGAAGAAGTATGTGCTTGTTTTCTAATTCAAGCACCTTTTAGGCAATGTGGAAGACTGGTGGGCCAGCTAAGACAACGAGGAAGTGAAATGAATTGATTATACCTAATTAAATTGTCTAAAATGGGAAGATACTATGGGTTACATAGTTAAACACATTTCTAATGGCTTCTCTTCAACATATTTTTCATCTGAAGTCTAAATCTTTCCCAAACTCCTCTCAGATTTGTCTTAAATTAAGCGAATATGATATATGCAGCTCCTCCTATAATTACTAATTACTTCATTTTTGTGCACTCATTTTTTTTTATCAGAATGTCATGTGACGTGAAGACATTGCAAAGGACTCTCATTGCTAGGAATGCTAAGTAATACTTCCTTTCTTAGCCCTTGCCTCTGCCTTGGCCTTAACCTTTCTTATGTAGACTCTCAAATTTTGACTTCAATTTTTATATTTTTTGATGCTGTGCTGGGGCTTCAACTCAGGGATTTGTGCTCTTGCTTAACTCTTTTGCTTAAGGCCGGTACTCTACCACTTTAGACATACCTCCACTTTTGGACTTTTGCTGGTTAATTGGAGAAAAGAGACTTGCAGAGTTTTCTACCTAGGCTGGCTTTGAACTGGGATCCTCATATCTCTACATCCTGAGTAGCTAAGATTGTAGATGTGAGTTGTCAGTTCTGACTTACCTATAAACTTTCTATTTGAAATGTCCTACTTACCTGTTACTTCAGGGTCAGTTTTCAAGTATCCTTAGAAGGATACTGACAGTTTTCAGACATCAACTCCACCAAGCCATTAACAGACTTCCTACCATCCCTCTCTCTTGTCTTGATGATTTTCCTAGCCTATCATTTAATGATTTCCTTGGGGAAGGGGGACAATCTCAATCTCTCTGTCTCTGACAGTCTGTGTCTGTCTGCCTGTCTGCCTGTTTGTCTGTCTGCCTGCCTGTCTGTCTGTCTCTGTCTCTGTCTCTGTCTGTCTCTCTGTCTCTGTCTCTGTCTCTCTCTCTCTGTATGTTGTATGGAACTATGGAAGCCTGGTTATTTGAATAGTGCAAACTGTGTTTACCTACAGATAAATATTTATCTCCTCTGTGAAAATGTGAAATTTACTTGATTAAGATCCCATAACTAACACATAGTAGTCTTAGTGGCTAGGACATTTCAGGTCGTCTAACCAAAACACAGTTAAAACAAATCTCCAAGTATTTTATGGTTGGCATATATCAGAATATCTGATCTATACTAGCTTCTTGGCATTAGTCAGCTAGTAGTCAAGTGTCCCGACCCGCAGGACTTCAACCAGGGCAATGAACCTAAGCGAGAAGGAATGAAGGGACAAGAGACACGAAGAAGGACAGCAAGACAAGGATTCTGATCAAGCTGCCAAATTTTATTTTTCACACAGGGATATTTATATGCTTAGAATAAGGAAGCTTTTTCATTGGGCGTAGCAGCTGCAGGATGCTTGCTTAGGGCAATGTGAAAAGGTGGTCAATAGCAGCTACCTGGTCTTTGTTTGGGGCAGGATGCAAAGACCAGATTCTGTAAATAGCCTTGAGAGATGTTCCAACAAGATAGCCAAGCTTATCATGCAGAGAGACTCCCTGCAGGGCTCTCAACATCTCCCCCTTTCTTATTTAGAAAATTGACCATCAATTGTTGGCTGCTCTTTTTGAGGGGGTGACAGAGGCTCTGTTCCTCTAAGGGCCCAGGGTTTTTCTCCACTCCGAGCGAGCATCCTCACTCGGGGAGGGGAATTTTACAGACCTTGGCATATTTTTTGAGGAGACGGCTTGTGGGTATGCATGCCAACCGTCATGCACCAGAGCTTGCCACTCAGGGGTCTTGGGTTTTGGGATCTCGCGGATCCA